TCCTTAAATTAAGGGGTTTTGGATCACAGCCAATGCGGGGCTACCGTTCTCACCATGTGTCGACGTGGTGGAACAGAGCCGGGAGCCTCTTCATAGCTTTCTTTCAGCAGAGCAGGAGTAGGAACCCTAAACCCTAAACCCCTAAGAACCCTAAACCCAAGCCTTAAACCCTAGGCGTTTTGCTTGAAGGTGAGGTAGTCGTAGTTTCTCCTTGGAGTCCGACTGTCCTCCCCAAGCGTAAGCCCTACCCGTGAGTGTGCATTCCGGTGGTCCGCACGAGCGCTCGGTTTGCACTGCCCGGGCAATCTTTGATAGCTGGGTTTTGCGCTTCCCCTGTACGCATAGCGAGCGGGCTTTTTCTTGGAATCTGGTTGCCGTCCTCCCCTACTGTATTGGGCTGGAGTATTGGAGCTGAGCATGCGAGCCCTGTGTTTCTGGGTCGCCATCTGCAGCTATACCACCTCGGCGCCAAGTGGGTGCCGAACCGTCGTGGCACCGGAGGCTGCGACGACCGCACCAACGCCAGAACCCTTGTGAGGTTTGCAACTTCAGGCTAGGTAACACTGGATGCCCAACGACTGATCAAGGCCAAGAGGCTGCTGAGACATCACCATTCTCGGTCAGCAAGGGCGGGGCATCCAGTATGGAAATGCAGCATCTGCCGACAGTCCGTGAAAGGGACTTTCCAATTCTGCCCGGCAACATTGGAAGGCCGTGGCAGGCGACACATCGTCGTCTACGCCGTGGCCACAGCCCTCGTATGCCAACAGCAAGCTGGGAACGAGAGATCGCAGCTCCCCTGCCCGAGGCAGCGTGGCAAAGGCAAGGGCAAGCAACAGGCGAAGGGGAGCAGGCAGCAGCCTGACAAGGTAGCCAGTGGCGAAGCAGAACAGAGCTGGGATCTGCCTTCGGCCCCGCAGCAGTAGCTGTCAGCCTGCCTTGATCTCCCAACCAGCGGCCTTGCAGAGTCTGCTGGGCGCGCTGGGCAGAGTGAGAGAGGACCTGCCGGTCGCCATCTGGGAAATAAAAAATGTTCATGCAACGAGGATCACCGAGCTGCCGGCAAGAACCTAGACAGGCTGGTAAGCACCCAAACGAGTGCCAAGCACGAGCTGCAGCAAAGACTACTTGGCGAGTTGGTCGAGTTTCCTGGAGCGCTTGGGCAAGACCTGGGCGGGATATGTCATCGAGAAAGAGCGTATCCTGCAGGAGTTCGACGAGGCAGAGCATCAATGGGAACAAAAGCTCGCAGAGGCTACTACGGCCTTGGCCCGCTTGACTGGTACCAAGCCATCAGACACCGTAGCGCCAGCACCAAGCCATGGTGGAACGCGAAGCGGCCATCACGCGCAGCCTGCAGGAGGCAGGCCAGGCGGCAGTGGAACAAACTGCGTCGAGTGCTTTCAGAGCGGAGAGAGAGAGTGGTCGCCACGGCGCCGACAGACAGAGCTATGTGGGGACAATGCGGAAACCAAGCAGGAGGCCAAGGCAGAGCCGACGCAGGCGCCTGCTGGTCCTCCCAAGCCAGGCTTTGGATAGGCCCCACAGGTTCCTAGGTGGTATTAGGGAGACCCTTTAAAGGGGACCTTTCTAAACCCTACTTGTGGCTCTTTTAAAAGGGACCTTATTGAGAGGGTCTATATTCCCAAGGATCCCCCTAATCCTAACTCTCACAGGTAGCCTGGCAGCCTGGTGGGTGATGTGGGGCCGAGTGCACACAATGATGTGCTTGGCCTACCACGGAGGCACACCATTAGCGACGAGACGGACTATGTGTCGGAACGGGAAGCAATTCTGCTTGGGCTCCGACACGAGTATGAAGTCAACTTGAGTCGGCATATTCTCAGCTACGAAGCGGATGAGGGCTTGGGTTGCTCCCCTGCTGTCTGGCTGGAACTCCTGCGCAGCTGTGACCCGGTGCTCGGCGAAGCTTATAGCTGTTGCACTACACGAGAGATTCCTTCCATTTTACGGGAGACCTACCATCATGCTTACGGGTGTGGTCCTGAAGCAATGTGGCCGCTTCGAGCCGTCGCGTTGCCTGAGGCCAGCTCTGACAAAGCTTGCTGTACAGTTGAACGAAGGTAAGCCTGCCAAACGGGTTTCGTTTAATTGAGGGGTAGACTTCATTTCGCCACCCAGTGCTGTAATGTCTTTGAGGCATCAGGCTGCCGTTACAAAGGCGGCACCTGTCGAACCTTGGCTGGACCTCGCCCCGAAGTGGATCCCAGCATGGTCTTCCATGCCATGGCCACCACCCATGCCGCCCATTTTCAGCCTTGCGGTACCGGAATGCCCAGCAAGGCCAGTCCACCTGCACACTTCACCAGTTACAAGGCAGCTTCCAACACGGGGATCCACACACGGCAGTTCCCCTCCTGTTTGACCTGCAAGGCAAGTCCATCTATGCACGCTGCCGGTTCAGATTCATGGCCTGCGTGGGAACATGGGCCTGCTTGCCCTGTCGGGACGAGCGGGCCCAGCCAGGACATCAAACCTTAGCATGCCCAATTGGCGACCCTGACATGGTTGATTACATCATCCAGCGCACCTTTGACAAGCTTTAGCTTCATCAGGCCTGGGGGCAAAGCCCGGTGTGGCCTTAGTCCATGGTGAGTCGACTTCTCTCAGCCCGCTACACCTGAGCCTTGCCCACCTGCTAGTCCTGCGCAGTGGAGCATGACCCTAGGCGCCCGCTCCTCCTTGCCGCACTGATGCGCATTTCTCAGCAGTGACGTATACAATGCGCTGTCCACCAGGACTGCACTCCAAAGGCTGTGTTTGGCTGAGTTCATGCAGACTCAACGCTTGTCTGTGTTGGGGCTACTGGCCCTGCTGAAGCCATGACAGCGGTCCAAGGTTGCATGCGTTTTGCGACGCGGGTCCAGCGTGTGCAGGACAAGAAGGGTGCCAGATATGGGCAGTCTCCACACTGATTCTGGATGTCACCGACGTAGCATGAGTGTTGTGTTCAGCCATCCTCGGTTGCTCGTTGTACAAACCCGTCTTGCCAGCCTCATGTTCACTCTAATTTCTGGGCACTGTCCTACTTCATCAGCCCGGCCTGCGGGCTCACAGAGAGTGATGGCTCATGCTACGAGATCGATTGCTTAGCAGAACGGCGGGCTCCATTCTTCTGATCTTTGTCAATGCTGCTAACGCCCATTGTGCATGGATCGAGAGGAGGGAGCAGCCCACTAATGGTAAAGCGAAGGGCTCGAAGAGCTGCTGCAGGAGTTTCATCTACAAAGAACTGAAGCCGTTGAGCCAAATGGCGCACCACGCATGACATGGCGGCCGCCTGCCGGAGCAGCTACCCCGGGCATGTGCCTCGACTATGTGCTATGAGCCGGTCCGGCTTGACCTGCAAACGACGCTTGTGCGTGATGCTAGGCCAGCCCTGACGTCAGCTGAAGGGCAGCAACAACTTAGGGAAGTGTACTCCACTCTTCCCCAAGTCGCGTGGCAGGTCCCTGTTGATGTCCACCTGGACTGCCGCAATAGGCATCTATAAGCTGGGCTCCCAGCTCGATTTGGAGGCGAGTTGATTTGTGTATGCGCACGCCCTCTCTTTCCGCACACACATGGTCATTACTGAGGGCGAGATGATGCAGACTTTGTCCGTCTCATGTGGGCTGACAGCACACAAGCAGGACCGGCCGCATTCGCCCGACGCGCCAGGACTGTGCTCAAGAGCGGGCGGGGCGGACAGGCCGGTGGTGGCCACCCGACCAAGCTCATCACTGAAGGTGGTCACGGACAGGGCTGGCATCCTTGACGAGCTTGGCAAGCATTTTGCTATTGCTGAGGAGGCTACACCCATGCAGTTGCGGGGATCTTGAGCCAAGGCAGTACTTAGGCGAGCATGACTCCATGACAAATGCTTCCTGGAGGAGGCGCCGTCTTTGAATGGTGCCGGAGGAGCTCCTGAAGACTGTGACCGAGGTCATCACGTCTTACAAAGAGGCCCGTGAGGCCAACGAGCAGAAGGTCCAGGACCCGAAGATGTTTTTCCGCTTCCAGAAGGATGAGGTGGGCACGACGAAGGCGGACATCGTCAAGGAGATCTTCAAGGTGATGGCGATGGACTCGCACACCCTTTGGGGGGGATATTGGCCGGCCTGGCCAAGATTCCCGCCAACATCGATGGCGGGTTTAAGCCCTGCTGGGGTACAGGGTTTCTACAAGTCCGAGGCCGTTTGCTCCTTTGACAATGTACCGACCGGAGCTGAGTGGAGCAAACGTATACCAGTGAGGAATACAGCTGAACCAATCGCCTGATTGCCTCCTAAGTAGCTTGTATAGTGGGGAAGTGTGAAGCGTGAGAGTGGTTTGCTCGACATGCATGTGTGTATATCTGCTGTCACTGTACACATGCCCATGTGTCTGAGCGGGCATGGCCCTTTGAAGTATGCCATGTGGGGTGTAGCCCAGTAATTTGCCTCTCCTTGCCCCTAGAGGAAAATGCTCTGGGCTCGGATGTTTGTAGCATTGTAGTGTTATCTGTGCCATAGTGTCAGTGCTTCCTTTGGTTGTAGAGTGCTGTTTGCGATCCCGCCTCGTGCAAGAGCATGTTGGTTGATCCCAATTCGGGAAAAGGCACAATTGCAGGTGCCCTCGCGGTTTAAGGTTAGAGGGTGTAGAGGTAGACGGTTTTTTCAAGCCGTGTGCTTGGCCTACTCCTTCCTCATCGCCGCGTGTTTGGCAGACTGAACTGCCATCTCTGGCGGCCCAAATTTAATCAAATGCGCCACCAGCTGGAAGTTTTGGGACGCGCTCTCAGTGAGCTCTACAGTCCGGACACGAACAGGACTTCGGGTTATTCAGGCCTAGATCATAGAATCCTGCTAGAACCCTTGTAGTAACCCTTAAAAGGAACCCTTATCGCATGCAACTCTTTTAGTATCCTTTAACTTTATAAGGCGCTTTAAGGAACTCTTGAAGGAACCCTTAAAGGAACCCTTCCAACTGCCCTACATCCTGCCATCCCCGGCTTGGAGGTGGATGCGGAGATCCTCCGCGGCATCTCGTTGCGTGCCTCCCTTCGGCGTCGGTTGCTTAGAGTTTAGGGTTTAGGGTTTGGGGTTTAGGGTTTTTGGGACTTTCAGGATTAGATATGAAGGTGTTGACGTGCATTTCACTGGGATTTTACAAAGGGGTGGGTGTTCGCCCCGAAAGCACACTTTCGTGAAGAACGGTCATACAAGAAGATTTCATACACGGGAGAATGTCCGTCAACGTGACGCCCCCTCTTCCGGCTTAGGCCAGATCCTTGTGACACTTGATTTCGGAAAAGAAGCTTTGGGTATTGTTAATATCACGTCTAAGAACCTCAAACTATCGAAGCCTCTGTAAGTTCCTATGCTAGAGGTGGTAATGCAATGCTTTTTAAAAGCCAATGTTCGATGCGGTTCGTCAGAGGCGGTGGACGTCTTTGGCGTTGCTCTCCACTCGATCTCGACGAACGCGAACGAGGGCAGCTGTGGAGCCTTGCCTTTGTGTTTATGGTGTGTTGCCACTCATCGCCACTTCTCCGGGTTGTTCAGATTCAGAACTTAGAGCATGTTGCATGCCTTCTTTTTTTTGCCTGTTGTTTGGCCATGGAGAACAACGCAGTTGCGTCTGGGGTTCTATCGAAATCAGACTTCCAAGCGCGGGCAGGCAAGTCCGAAACTCGGTTGTGTGCCAGGAGCAAGTCTCGATATGTTGAACATTTCGACGTCTTTCTATCACACACGTGGCATACATCTGGAGCGTGGAAGATGCTTTCTTTGCTGCTGCAAGCTGGCTGGAAGTGGGTGATTTTCCTCTATGGCGTGATGGTCGTAGTTGTGGCTCTTCTTCACGCAGCAGACAGTTTGCCCCTGCCCTTCGACTTTACACCGCAGTGCCCGAACTTTACGGTGACGGTCCCATATGCACCATGGACGCTGCTCCTTACATTCTTTTCCTCAATCATTGCGATGCTGTCAGCTCCGTACTTGCCCGAGGGCTACGGCGCACCACTTGTATGGGATGCAGTCTGCTTCCTGGATGCTGTGAGCATACACCAGACCGATGCTGCCCTCATGGAGCGTGGGGTTTACGGGCTAGGCGGCTTTTTGAAGGTATCGAAGGAGCTACGTGTGCTTTGGAGCCGCCCGTACCTTTCACGGCTGCCGCTTGGCAGCTCTTCATGGAATCTCGTCGTTTGCCTCTCCGGTTGACTGCAACCTGCAGCCTGAAGTTGCGACTTGCAGATGTATGAAGGCAGAGAAGCGTAGAAGTAGTTAGGCGAATCATCCAGCATATGTTTCTCTGGATCATGAACAAGTAGTGCGGCAGGATGATCTAATGCTGTTCCTAGTGATGACTGGCTTCTGTTGCTGTGATTGTCAGTTCGCTGACTGTAGCCATTATCGTTGTCGGTGTCATTGCGATTGTTAGTTGCTGTCTCGTTGGACTATTTGTTTGCTCGTGGTAGCCTTGTAGCAAGCATCGAGGAAGCATCACCTTGAAGACGCTAGCACGCCAGTTCAACACGGTACTCGTATCGATCCAAGATCCCCACCCATGGCTGCAGAGCCATTCTGTCCTAGACTCTAGACTAGACTCTAGACCCTGAAGGCCCTAAACCCTGCCATTTGGCATTCAAGGTGGTGTGTCTTCGAGTTGGCGGCCTACCGTCACGCGAACCCATCAGGTCGGCCTGCTCAGAAATGTTCAGAGGGTTTGGGGTTTAGGCTTTAGGGACTTCGGAAGGTAAGCTTACCGAAGGTCGTCCATGGTTTCACAGCTTCTTCCAGGATGCCTCGGAGAGGGCATCCAGGTTCGATGTTGCAACCTTCAATCCTAAACTGGAGCTTCGTAGCCTTAGGTTCGATATGATTTTAGGTTTGGGGTTTAGGGTTTTGGGTTTTGGGGGCCATGATTTCGCTCCGACTCCGGCTACCGTCACCTCTTGCTTCGACCACTGCTGTTGGTTCTGCTATTAGTTACAGGACGGCGAGCAACGCTACAAGTGCTACGCTACAAGTGCTACCGTAAGATTTAGTGTTACGACGGTAACCGCGAGGACGACTAGAACTTTTACCCAGGGTTTCCATAACGATGGTTTGATGATGATGATGATAATGATGATGACGAAGGCAATTCTCATACTTCGATCTGCAGTGATTGTGGATGCCGAGGGCGATCCGGTACAAAAGCAGGGGAAGAGACAGACCACACAGTGAGAAACAGCGAGGTGCAATGCCGCAGAGCCTTGCATCTCAGTGCTTGCTATATGTTAGGTCGACCCGAAACCCCATACCCAAGACATGTAAACCCTAACCCCTAAATCTGTATAAACCCAGACCCGAAACCTGTAAACCCTAAACCCAAAAGGTCTCACTCCAATGCACCCCAAGTATGCCCTGCAATCTGGAGGCTTCAGGACAGAAGCCTCCAACCCGTGATCAGAACCAAAGCCAAGCGCAGGAAGCCATGGAACCAAAATATGCATGATTGCAAAGTCGAGGGCTCTAGGGTTTTGGGGCTTCTGTTAAGTTCATAGGGACCCTTAGTTCATAAGAACCTAATAAGGCCTATTTGAGGAAGTATAGTCCCCTACCCCGCTCCCCCTTACCCCCCTGAGGGTCCTGCTGCAGTGATTGCTCTCAGGTCGGATTACGCTGGCGCCACTCTTCGTCGAAAGGGCCATGGCCGGGTATGTGCCAAAAGTCTCGCAGCACTCCGGTTCAGGGCTGCAAGGGTTTCGGGTTTAGAAGAAGCAGGATTTCCTAGCTTTTGCTGGGTTTTGAGCTGCTCCGCCTTGAACTGTCGCAGAAACTGGGCCCTGAGTTGATCCTGTTCTTCGCCACCTACTTCGCCAGCTCGCTCTTCATTACCTTTGTGATACTGGGCGGCTTCCAGTCGCTCAACCCCCTGGCCGGGTTCAGGGTTTATATAGGGTCTAGGACCAAGCCCCAGGGAGTTGTCTTTCGGTCGTGGAGGGCTAAGGCTGCCACCAGGTGGTCTAATGTAGGAACCTGATTAAGAAACCCTGGACCTACAACCCCCAAAATATCAGGATGCATACCGAGAACCCTAATAAAGACCCAAGGTTTCTAAATCAGGTTGCTATAATCTCCTGAGATGCATCCCTAAACCCTGAACCGAGGACCCACCCTAAACCCTGGAGCGGGCCCGAAACCCTAAACCCCAGAACCTGCAGTCTACTTTGGGATTGTGGTGCGATGACTGGGAGACTTGTAGGAATAACTGGGGTTTTTCGAAAGAGCCTTAACCCTGAATCCTAAACCTTAAACCCTGAA